GGAGGTACAACGACACCGTCGGTGTCTGAAGCATTACAATTTGCCGAGTCATCAAACGCATATCGACGGTCCAGCGCCGTTGATAAAGGATTGTAGCGAATGCCGTCAAGAGGCAGAGGTTTGTTAAATAAAGCGATAAACGCACTTCCTTTCGAACTGCACATTCCCGGTTACCAGTTTTGTGGACCGGGGACGCGTTTGGAGAAACGATTAGCTAGAGACGACAGAGGTATTAACCCATTGGACACGGCGTGTCGCGAACACGATATAGCGTATTCGCACAACAAGTCTCACTGAACGGCACGTGGCTGATAATATACTCGCTGAAAAGGCGCGGAAACGCATTATCGCGAGAGATTCATCTCTCACAGAGAGAGACGCCGCCACAGCTGTTTGGGCGGCTATGAAGGCTAAAACAAAGATGGGTATGGGATTGAAAACAAAGAAGCGAAAGAGTAAGAGGATACTTCCGATAGCGAAACGCGACGGTATCTTGCCTGTTCTTCCGCTGCTGGGCGTCCTCGGGTCGTTGGTCAGTGGAGCGGCGGGAGTCGCCAAGGCTGTAAATGATAACAGAGCAGCGGAGCGTCAGCTGGAAGAAATGCAACGTCATAATCGCGTCATGGAAGGTCACGGTGTTTATCTCGCTCCCTACAAGCGTGGACGAGGAGTAGTAAAGAGAAAAAAAAAAACGTCCATGAGACGTTAAAAATACCAACGGGTGTAACTACCAACGTGCAACTGCTACAACTTGCAAAACGTATGCGCATTCCGTATTTCAGAGGTATCTTTATGCGTACGACATTACCGGTGGAAGGAGTACATCGAAACGAGAGCGGTTTCGTGAATCTGGACAACGCAGAGGGACCCGGTACGCATTGGGTAGCGTACGCGAAAAGGGGGAATCGTGTCATATTTCGACAGTTTTGGTAACCTCCGACCGTCGAAGGAACTCGAGCGATATCTAACAAACTGTGTAATCCAATACAATCACATACCTTATCAACGTTACAATCAGAGCAATTGCGGACAGTTGTGTCTACAGTTTCTACGGACGAGTGATAAACAATTTAAAGACTGACATTGCGCGGTTTAACTCAGTATTCGTTCAAACATGTCGCTGACGTTTACGCTGACGGGCAAAAGTAGTGTTCTAGCCGTGAGCTATTTTCCGGCGGTAGATTTGAGCGATGGCGATTACGAGCTCGGTCTAACTGACTTTGAAACGTATTATACTCTACCGAATGTAAATTCAACAAGCAACAAGTTTTATTTCGACAATGAGGAAATTGTGATTCCCGAAAGATCATACGAACTGCGCGATATAGAACGGTATTTAAAGCGTGAAATTTTACATTCACGTGACGCAAAGCGCAAGGAGGATGACGAGTATCCACTGCTAATTCGCGCCAACAACAATACGATGAAGAGTGAAATCAAATGTGCATATTCGATAAATTTCGCCAAACCTTACAGCATTGGACCGCTATTGGGATTTTCATCGAATCGCGTGCTCGAACCGCAACAGTGGTATGAGTCGGACGTGCCAATAAATATCATCAACGTAAACATTATTCGTATCGAGTGCAACGTGACCGCGGGTGCGTACAGCAAAGACAAGTGCGTGCACACGATACACGAGCTTTCACCGATTGTCCCACCAGGATATAAAATATCGGAAAGGCCGACGCAAATCATTTACCTTCCGATCGTCGTACGGAGCATTACGGATCTGACGATTCGCGTGGTGGATCAAGACGGCCGATTGCTCGATTTTCGTGGAGAGGAGATTACCGTTAGATTGCATGTACGAAGACGACGGCGCTAACGTGAGATGCTTGTGCTGAATGAACAACCGAAACAGACCAGAGATTTTAACGGAGAGATTTCATTTAGAAAAAGACTCAGTGCGTCCAACGTTGCATTTTTAAAGTCGTTGGGTTTTATCGTACGAAATGGCTGATATTTTGAACATTGTCGGTGAGCCGATCTTTGACGATCGCATCGTCAAGTTTGAATTTCATACGTACAATCCATACGCCAATACAACGTTTGGACATAGCGACGAGATACGAATACCTATACAGCAGCAGGATTTATACACGTTGCCATGCGAAAGTTTTCTCTACATTGAAGGAAGATTGACTGTGAAGAAGAAGGATGATGAGACGCCAACAACGCTTGGAAATAATTGCATAGCGTTCATGTTTGATGAAATTCGGTATGAACTCAATAGTGTGGAGATTGATCGCAACAGAAATGTTGGAATTACCAGTACCCTCAAGAACTATGTATCGTTGACGTATGACAAGTCTTTGATTGCGCTAAACACTTGGTGAAATTCTAGATCCGACATAACGGAAGGTTACTTTAACTTTTGCGTACCGCTCAACATGCTGTTGGGCTTTTGCGAGGATTACAAACGCGTGATTGTTAACGCTCGTCATGAATTGATTTTGATACAAGCGCGCAACGATAACAATTGTATACTGGGAAATTCAGCGACGGAACCGGAGCTTGAACTGATCAAAGTGCAATGGCGAATGCCTCATGTTATGCTAAACGAGATCAATAAACTATCAATGCTGCGAGCAATGAAAAGCGGTTGTTATCTCAGTATGAGTTTTACTCATGGTATCTGTACGAGTATCCTCTGTTACAGAGTACGACGAAACATTCATGGGCTGTCAAAACGGCGACTCAACTCGAGAAGCCGCGTTACGTTATCTTTGCTCTTCAGACCGGTCGAAAGAATATCATGTCTCAAGATGCGAGCGTGTTTGATGATTGTAAATTGAGTAATGTGAAGCTTTATCTCAATTCAGAGTTTTATCCGTACGGTGATTTGAATCTCGATTTCGACCAAAAGGGATACGCTCTCCTGTTTGATATGTACGCGCGTTTTCGTAAGGCATATTACGGAATCGACTGCTTCGAAACGCTGCTCAATGTACTTTCGTTTATCGAGAAAGGACCTTTGCTGTCATTGACTGCTCGCGACAAAACGAATCCGTCAAGAGCGCTACCGTGGATGTACGAATAGAATTTGACTGCAAGGAGAATGTACCCGCCAATACCACCGCCTATTGCCTCATCATACACGATCGTGTTATCGAATACTGCCCGCTGTCCAACGTAGTGCGCAAGATTATGTAAATCGCACCGTCAGCAATTATCTTCAATTTAAGAGAGATTAACACTGATATGAGTGCAGTTTCGAATAAATGCTCGTCATGATCATACCAACGTTTGTGGATCTACAAGGATTCGTCGTAGGCAAGAAATTTATCGTCAAGGAAGTAGCAATGCTCAGAAGAGGAACTGTTATCACACACTACATTTTTTCATGTCCTATGCCATGGAATTTACTGACAAATCTTGCGCTTCCTGGTTGAGTGCTTATCACCATGGATTGCGATGGGAAGACGGGGTGGTCCCGTACAGCATGGCGAAACGTCTAATCACAGAGGCTGTAACAGAAGACGATGAATCTCTCGTATATGTAAAGGGGCTTGAAAAACGACAATGGCTATCCAATATACTTGATTGCGATAATGTAGTCGTTGAAACTCTAGATGCGCATTATGAAGATGTAGAACCCCTACGTAGCTTAGATGCATGTAATACAATACGGTGTGGAAGACACGCTAAGAATTGTGCTTTGCAAAATGTATTTAAAATATTCAACCGGTGGTCGCAACACCAGGAATAATTGTAAGATTTTTTAAAATAAATGTAAGATTTTTTAAATAAATACGTTTTATTTCCGTTACCCGTATCACCCACATAATAGATATAAGTCAAAAGTAGACTGGTAACTGTATACAATGTACCGATAGCTGTTTGATATCTGTTTATAGCAGTTCGATAGCTGTTCGATAGCCGTTCGATAGCCGTTCAATAGCCGTTTACAGTGTACCGATAGCTGTTTATAGTATACCGATAGCAGTTCGATAGCTGTTCAATAGCTGTCTGATAGCTGTTCAATAGCCGTTTACAGTGTACCGATAGCGGTTCGATAGCTGTTCAATAGCTGTTCAATAGCTGTTTACAGTGTACTGATATCGGTTTGAAAGCCGTTCGATAGCTGTTCAATAGCTTTTCAATAGCTGTTCGATAGCCCCGTTTCGATAGCTGTTTTAGTAGCTGTTTTAATAGCTGTTTTAATAGCTGTTTAATATATACATAATATGTGTTTCAAATGCTGCAATGGACAAAATGCTCAAGTTTCTTCGTTGAATCGTTGAGCGCGATGTCTCCTCGCGCGATGTCTTCTCGTATACTTTTTTATCTGAGGTATACTTTTGATTAAGATAATATATCTTTAACCGAGGCGTTGCACGTGGCATCTTGGGCGAAGGATGATATCATATTGTCACGTATATTGTTAATATAAAACTTCGCACAGCTCTCGCAGTCAGTTGTCAGTGTGCGGTGCTGTCAGTATAGTTCCGTCAGTAGTTCCGTCAGTAGTCCAGTGATTTTTAGAAAATAAATAATGGCTAATTTAAATGAACTCTTACACATTACATATGAATATCCGGTTCGGGCGGTAAGATTTTCTAATATATTTAATATATTAAAAATAATAAATATAGACTGAATGATCTTTTATAATTTTTTATTTTTTAGTATCTCACGGTACATGACAAACCTGTAGCTGAGTTACAACTGCGGGACCAGATTAGGGTGTGAACCATATATTTAATATATTTAATATTTAATGTATACTTAATTTATAACTTTTTTTATTTTTATTTGCAGCACCTTAGAGTTGGTAATGAGCCGATCGTTCGCATGCAATTGCGAAATGAGGTGGGGATTCTGATTGAACCAATGGTAAGTTAACTATAAATTATACATGAATTATACATATAACATACATGTAAAATTAATTTTTTTTTTCAGAACATTTGGAGGGGTGTTCCGAAAGTCCAAGGCCATCTCAGCTACGAGAGCCGTCGCTACAAAAGAATGTCGCGGCGG